CATTTTCAAGGCTGCAAAATAAAAGTGGGGGATAAGAAGCTAGGGAACAAGTGATGTTCCTTACAAAATGCCATTTTGGTATTGGTGAAATGGCAGTCACTTGCAAGAAAGAAAACTGAGCAGCATGTCCCTTTTTGCTGCCCCTGCAAATGGCTCCACAGCTGATTATGGCAACCCACAATAAAATTAATCTCATAGGTTAATATCCAAGCAATCATGGGCAAGAAAAAGCCAACAAGCCATAGGTTCCCTCTGCAGGTGCTTGTTGAAAATTAAGCCACACTACACTAAATGCTCCAAATGGCTGAACAACCCATTATAGCTATCTACTGTGTGTTGCTGTGCTGTGTGAACCCAGTCAAATAATTTAAGACACTTAGAGGGGCACCATTTCCTATTTTGCCTCAGGCAGCAAAATCACTTGGGTCAGCCTTGGAAAGAGAAGAAATAAAACCAAGCAGATAATTTTTAAAGGGGAGAAAGGGAGCACTCCTGCATGAAGCCAGGAAGGAAGGGTAAGCTTGACAAGTGCACTAATATACAGAATCAGTGCAATATGCATCCGTTCTTTTCCCAGCAAAATCACAAGGAAGACTAGTTCACCATAATGAGTACATATCCTATGTAGAGTTTGAAAATCAATCAGAGCTGGTGGTGAATTGAACTACTAGAAGAGAAATTCACCAGAAGCAGGGAGGTTATTGAGCATGGAAGGATATTGCACTTCTGTTCCTGGATGCTGGTCTCTGTCTCTGAAACAAGAAGGGAATTGGCTCTTGAGAAAATTTAATACTGCCTACCCTGCTATAAAAATACTGAGATAGTTTATGTGAAGTGCTTTAATCCTACAGAAAATTACTAGGCAGATATAAAAAGCAAGTGCTGTCTACAAAAACAGTGCAAAAAGACCATGTACTCATCTGGTGCCTAATTTATAAAACTGCATGACACTTGGCTACATATGATGGCTGAGCACCTAGACAAAAAGCTTACGATGTCTACAAATATCCCCTTTATCAATGATTTCCATGAGTGCCTAAAAAATTCAGTGGGGAATCCTGTATCCCCCATTATTTGAACATTTAAAAATACAAAGTAGAAAAAAAGGGAAGTGAATTTTAAAAGCAAAGTCCAATTTTGTTATTTCAAATCTAATTAAAGGTGCAATCCTATGCATGTTCAAACAAGGGAAAAACACTACAACTTGGCTCAAAAATGTAGGACCTTTTCTGTCTAAACATGCACCAGACCTGAAGTATTGTGATAATTATGACAATAGTTCTACAAAGAGAGTTTAGCAGCCAAATTTGACCAGGCAACTCCATTTGTATTGTTGGGAATTTCTAATCTGATATTTATTGTAAACCTGCCAGTCATTAGGCAAATCAAGTGTTCCATGCTTTTTTTTGGGGGGGGGGGGGGGCAATTCAGGAATCTTACACCAGATATTTCCAGCTTTAAATTCTTAAGATTTGCAGATATCACAGAGTATTAATATCTGAACAAGGAGGCAGTGTCTACTTTATACTGTCATAACAGCACAGAATACATCCGAGCCTTATTTCTTGGCTTGAGGAAATGCTACAAAAACCGTTAGCTTTTAAACCTGAAATTTTCTTGTTAGGCATTATACCGGAAAATGTTAGCAAACAAGAAATGTATTTGATGCTACATTTAATCACAGTGGCGAGGATTGCGCTTGCTCAATACTGGAAGAGTGAGGAAATACCCACTGAGGAACTGATTTTAAAAAAGATTCTGGACTGCGCAGAAATGGACAGATTGACTCTATTACTGAAGGAGAAAGAAGATACTGACTTCTATCAAACTTGGGACCTTTTTTGATTGGCTGGAGAAACGGGACTTGGCTTAGATTTAAAGATGTCTTTAAATTTTTATAAATTGATTTGAATATGATTATAGAATGTTAAAAAGATACGTTATAGGGGGCTGACCCAGTACATCCGATGTAATTGATGATTGATTCTTTTAGTTTTTAGTTTAAAATCTTAATAAAAAATGTGCCAAAAAAGATGCAACCATAATATAAGATAAAACAGGAACTATAATCAGTAAGACTATTTAATCACTTTCTACATCATCATGTAGAATTGGCACAGGTATGTTAGTAACCATCCTTAGCTTTAATATAATACAGTACTGCTTCATAAACAGAAGTGCATCTTTGTCTCTTGCACTGTTTTGAATGATTCAACATGCTACTTGAGTGATGCCTAAAATCTGTTCACTTTTAAAGACATATGTTGCAGTTCTTAAGAGAGATGAAGAAAGCCTTGTCTATGCAATGTACTTTTTTAAGGGTTTCACAGTGTGGCAATTGCAAAAGTACATTAACCACTAGGTGGCAGTCTATGGCAACTGTACATTGCTTATCCAACATTCTCTGGTTGCCCCCTCTGGGAGCAAAAAAAAAAGAATTTAGTGGAGGCATCCTACATCCCAATGGAGCCTCAGGAAAGGCAGTAAAAATGTTGAAGACTGTGAGCAAAATGTCAAATGGAAGAAAGGAACAGGTGGGATCAGCAAGTGGATACAGGATGGAGGAATCATAGCTGTAAAAAGATGCGAGAACGCAAACTGCAGATAAAAAGATCAGACCCTGTATTTGAAGAGTATTCACCAGGAACACTAAACCTGAGTTAGCAAGGGGAGGGGGGCAACTACATGAGGTTATATTAACTCCTGGAGAAGCAATAAACATGTTTATCTCATTAATGTGACTACACTTTATGAAGAGGAGTCATAAAACAGAAATACTGCTGACTTTGATGAAGGCAATAAGAAAATAAAAAACATTAACATGGTTGTGAGGGGAAAACTATTATCTTATTAAAGTGCATCCTTTGTGAGATACCTGTGAATTGTACCCTCCTAGGTGGAGATGCCCATTCATCACTTATGAAGGCTTTAGTCTGCCAAACTGAAGGCTGAGCAATTACTCCCACTTGCAGATGCCACCTCCACAAGCAACACACACAATTTATTTAACAGATCTCATTGTACTGCTAGCCCATAAGCTGCTTCAAATATGCCACAACATTTCACCCTCAATTCATAATTCAATGTGGCCTTTGGTGGAAAAAAAATCAACAGGAAAGAAAGAATGCCTTCTGCTTACATTTGGTATTTTCTGCTGTCATTTGCTTCACTGCACAATGAAGCAGACAGTAAGGGGAAGATAAATAGTAAGCTTCCTTCACACACACAAAGGCATTACCCACCACACACCTGCAAATTGTTGCGCAGACCACTGCAAGTAAGATTGTCGGTATGCTTAAAATGGAAATCAGGATACCTAAAGGGGTACCCATTAGTCCTCCCTTTGCCCTTCTTTCCCATCCTTTTAGATTCTGCACCCTTCATCTTCAATATTAATGTACAGAGCATTTCCCCCTGCCGTTCTCTTTGATCCACCTCAAAAGATAAAGAAAAAAATGAAATTTCCCATCCATTATTTAAATTCAGTTGATTTAGTCATGTGCAACTGGGCTGGTGGAAATGGCTTTCCACCCCATGGCTTTCCACCCCATGGGAGTCCCTCCAGCCCTCACAAAATGCTACTCAGAGGGACATGGGACTCTGCTGAACGGAGTAAGCTGTAATGCCAGAAGGATTCCCAAAACATGGGTCTAAGCAGAACTCTGTCAACAGAACAGAGATCCTGAATCCTACTTAGTGAGTTCTTGAAAGAGTGGGAGGCATGGAGTCAACCAAACGTCTCGTGAAATGTAGATTTACCATTTGCCTACACCGTACATATATCATGAAGGGTACCTGATTATGTAATGCAAAGCTACATTCAATTTATTGGCATCCACAACTGGGACCACATTCTTGCCTTCACTGGAGACAAAAGTTGAAATAATTAATCCCAAATTATTTTCAGAGTGGTATATTTCTTCTCATACCAATGCTCATTAAAATTTTTATTTCTGGCCAGAAACACTAGCATTCACTTTTCCATTATAACACCAACAAAAGGAGGAAGGGCAAAGCAGCTTGTTATTTAAATCCAGAAAATTAGGAAAGGGTTAACCTCTCTTCCTCCAGCATGACTTCTTTGAGCAAACCAAAGCCTAGCCCAACACATTTCAAAGTTGTTTCTTCTAAAACCATCATTTTTCCAGACATTTATATGTAGTTTAAATCTAATTTTTTTAAAGTTCTTTAAAAGGCCAAAAAATGCCCTTCACAGTGCTCTGACATCACTCCTGTTTCAGTTCTGACAGTGGAAAAAAGCATTGCAACAGATTCTGTTAACAAGGTCAAGACAACATGCGACAGTAATTTGGCAGAACAAAGCTACATAAATTATAATGCACACAAAAGGCCTGGATTACATACTAAAAGTGTTGTTCTGTGTGTAAGTTTGCAACACAAATGACTACCAAATAGCTGGTAGCACTAACATTGTCTCAACAAATGTCCCTGAGTAACATGTACTTCACTAATATCATTCCTAAAGTGCCTTTACTACTTTCACTGCGAAAGATTAATGTACTTTGTACCAAAAGTTAAATCCTTGACATGTGCAGAAAGGTCTGCGAAAGACTCAAGTCTGAAACCCTGAAAATCTGCTCTCAGTAAGTATAGACAATACTACAACCAATGCCCTATCTCAGCAAAAGACAGTTCCCCATGTTCCTATCTTCCTAAGATAAAGGCTTCACAAGAGGACAAAATTAGGGAGGTGTAATGGGGCGAACTATGAAAACACAGTGTACACATCAAGTACATATACATCTGGAAACCTATCAGGTCATAAACAGGTCTTGCTAATCCAGTCCTTCATAGCAGCCTGCCAACTTTGATTTAAAACAGTTAACCATATAAACTAGAATATATAGAGAGAGGACTCACAGACAGAACTGTCCTAAATTAGTAAAAAGGATTCCTCTGTATACAATCCACATATATGTCCCAAGACACAGAAATACTAATGCAAGCTTTTTAAATGTATGTATATATAGTACACTCACCTCTGTACTTGGCAGTGTTTGTTCATCATCGGTGGTAGATGGTACGATTGACCATGTCAGACTGGCACTAGCAGCTGTCAAAGAACTAATGGCACCATTTTTCAGTGGCTCTGCAGAATGCGACTTTGGCCCATGCCATCCTAGAATGTTTTCTGAAACAAGGAAGGGAAACAATAAGCCATCTGCTATGTCTATTTTTAGTGTGTGTGGTCCATCGCTTTTGGAGGAATCTCGCAATTGCCAGATCAGCAATACTTATCTAAGCCATTTGTATGTCACCCTTGTTGTATCCCTATATGAAAGTATTTATACAGCCAATATGGCATATTTGCAGCACTGCTGTGTCAGGACCAATGGGACACACATGGAGGTCCCCCATCTTGCTTTGCAGGGACCCAGAATACTGCCCCAAGTTTTCTTCTACCAGCCGCAGCCAGGCAACCTCGAATGAGAAATTCTCATAGTCCTTAAGTTATCCACATACCACTATACCCTTTATTCAAGTGTGGTATTTAGCCATCCACCAATGAATTCTGAAGATTCATCTACTGCAAAAGTCACTTTAACTCATTTCTAAATTTTAACTCATTTCTCATGCATTAAATTTAAAGGCAAGTTAGCAACAGAGCACCTGAGAATCTTCCAGACATGCAGCAATCATGGCAGCAGCCACAGGCAAAAATCTGTTTCAAGTAAAAGCATATAGGCATAGAGAGACCAACTGAGTTAAAGAGGGGGGAAGACTTGAAGCTGCTTCCATGTCACATTTGAAGAGAGAACAATGAAACATCACAGAATTCTACAAGCACACTGAATGCTTGTGATGAAACAGAGAAAGAATTCCAGAAGTTTTGCTCCTTGGTAACCTAATCATGTAAGCTATTTCAGTGTTTGATTGTGACAAACAGCTCCTCTGAGGAAAATTAAATTGAAATGTTGGGAGCTTTGTAGTAAAATGCAACCAATATGCTCATGGCACCCAAGTCTATGGCTCTTTGTCACCTAACAGAAAGCAAGCAGCCAAAACCTTTGAATGCTGCCTGGGATGAATAACAGGCTGGTTGAGGGTGAACAAGCTGAAACTAAACCAAACAAGAAAGCATTATTGCTGGCTGACTCTGGGATTGGGATTCAAGCTGTTATGGAAGGGGGCTGGGCTCTCACTTAAAGACCAGACTATAGGTTAGGACTGCTCCTTGCTCTGCACTGTCCATATATTTTCAGGTGGAAGCAATGGCAAGGAATGCATCTGCACAATTATGCTTGTCCTGGCAGCTGCAAGTCTTCCTGTGCCAGTCTGACTTGGCAAGAGCTATCTATGCCTTGGTCACCATCAGGGCTTTTTTTGTCATAGAACGCACCGGAACAGTGTTCTGGCACCATTTTTTGATGAATTTTTCCAATGGAGTGATTTTGAATCGCCTGCGGGCTGCTTGTATGTCCGTGCTGATTGTGAGGGCGCTGCTCGGCTTGGGACACTACTCAGCTTGGGACTGGTGTGTGTGGTCGCACGCTGAGTGCTTAATGCCGACGGCGACCATTATGTTTATGTGTGTGTAGAGTGACTGGCTACGTGCAAAAGGTAAATAAATTATTTATTTCAAAAAAAATTGGTGAATTGAAAATCTTTTTTAGTGTAAAAGTGTGACTCCAAGACATGAGTTCCGGCACTTTTTTTTTTTTTTTTACAAAAAAAAGCACTGGTCACCATCATGTTTAGACTACCGCAATGTGTTCTACATGAAGCTGCCCCTGAAGATTGTCTAGAATCATCAACTGGTTCAAAATGCACATCTAAGTTTTTAACTGCTATACAATATTACATCTGCTTTGCAAGTAGTTACCAATTGCTTTTTGGGCTGAATTCAAACCTTAAATCCCTAAACTGCTTGTGTCAACCCTAAATTGTTGAATGGCCCCCACTCTCTTGGCTTTTAGAAAGGGTGTGCATTTGCTTTTTTATTGTAGTAATGTTGTATTATTTCAAACAGTTGTACACTGCCTTCTTTTAGCTTTTTAGCAGAGAAGGTTGCATATAAATGTAAGTAAATCCTTTTGGGCCATTCCCTCTATATTAAAGATAAATCATACACCATCATGACCAGAGAAAATTTGTCTCCTCTTGGAAGCTACACAGAAGCTTCATCTTTCATTCTAAGAAAGGTTCTAGCTCCTCTCATCATTGTAAGCACACACTTTAACTCAATCAAAGCTAAGGTAATATAATTTCAATAAAACCTTGAGTGCCAGTCTAGTGGGCTGTAAATGTCACAATAGTCACTGGGCATTAATACTTCCTGGGCATTACTGCTTTATTGTAAATGACCTACAGAATCAACAGATGTAGCTTAAATGCCTACAAGTATGTCTGAGATGATCATGACAAATCAATTGCAAATTAGTTTGAATCAGCATATTGAGGACATGTGAAACTTTGAAAAGAACAAGAACAGAGATTAGCAAGCTAAAGAATATGACTAAGTCATAAGTGACACGCTTATGTCTTAAAATAAAACAATTGCTAATCATAAGGATACATTCATAATTAAGTTGACCCTGGGAATTCACCTGGGTAAGTTTGGCATCTAGTAATGTATGGATTATTTCTAGATTCAAAACATTAGGTATCAAACCAAATTATAACATGACGATCAAATAGTAGAATGATCAGTATTATTTTATACAGTAGAACTTCAATGCTAAATTTGTGGGAACAAATGGATTTTAAGAATGTTCTGCAATCATATAACTGAAATAAAGGTTGCTTGACCACAATTTATAAAATAAAGCATTGAATTATGTAAGCCACCTCAAAAAAGGCAGGGTATAGCTATAATTAATAAACAAATAACATCTTCAACACTTGAAAGGCCCTTGTATGATTTTCAAGAATCCAGCACACTCAGTGGTCACTGCCTTTTTCTTTTTTAATGTGACCCTTGGCAGCTTTCAATGCCTCTGCTTATGCCATTGAGCTGCTGTGACAAGATCCCCAGAAAACTCTTCACTGGACTAATCACCACTTAGGCTAGTGCTACGTCAATTGCATGAGGTGTGCAGCAGAACTGAAGATTGCTCCATACAACAAATTATTATACTGTCCGAGTTCACAAATAAAGCAAGATAGCAGAACTAACCCTCTTGGGCAGCCCTGCATCAACCAGAGGGTCCTGTTTAACAAATATGTGCTTCAAGTTCATTCTCTATTCAATTAACCAAAGTACTTCATGAAAAGTATTTTTCTGGAATCCTAACTTACTGTCATGTTTTCGTATAGCACTAACAAAGTAACTTGTATGACTTTCCTGAGCATTTATTTGCTTGCATTTCAAGTCTCATGATCAGGTCCAAAAGGCCAAAAAAAAAATACTTCACCAAAAACCATAGATAAGTTTAACGCACTCATTTTAAACTCAAAATATAAAGCTCTGAATTGGCTCAGTTCATGACTCACTGCAGAGAGACTTCACAGATGCATGTCCTGTTCTTTATCTTCTAGATAAAAGTCTTGTATTGTATCTTTTCTTTAGGAAACAAGAAGTATTGGAAACTTCTTAGAGCAGACAAGCAAGCTAGGGTCACCCACCTGAAGACAATGTCCTGTTTGTGGGTGGGCTCACTTGTTTTATGCTCTGTTGTAGCAAATGCAGGCATTCTCCTAGGCAGCTGAGGGCAGCAGCAGAGGTAGCTTTTAAAAGCAGCAGATCTTGATCCAAGGCAGAAAGTGAGCCAGAACCTGGTAGGGATTCAATGGCTTGCACAAGGTTCCTCTGTTGTCCCTCCACCTGACTCATGACCTACAGGAAACACACACACACAATTCTATTTGTCAAAAGGTAGTCACCCCACTGCTTCCAACTTCTGATGTTCAATACAAGATCAATCCCTTGCACAAATCCACAATCTTAAATACCTTCTTTCACGCTGATAATATATATTACATGTATTTTGCATTCTTCTATGTTTGCCAGGTTCTCTTTTCCCTTTGAAAAAAGGTATTTGGGTCAAAGTAGTAGTTTAAACTGAAATCTTGCATACCAGATTTCATCCAGGTATCTCACAGAATAGCATTTTATACCCATTTCACGCTGCCAATTAAAACTACAACTCCTGTAGGAATGTGAGAAGAAAGCTGATCCACTACTACTGAAATTAACATAAAGTCATTAACATGCTCTCAGAAATTTACTTAATAGGTAATACTAAAGTTTCAATTTGCTGTACATTTTCTAAAAATCGTTAGACCATTATTCCTTTGTGCATGATTCCACCTCCTCCCTGCCTGTTTCCCATTTCTTCTTCCAAAAATCTACTTTAAAAAGATGGTCTACTCAAACATGATGACATAATGCCACTAATGTTCAGCCTTTTAAAAATATAGTATGCACAGCACAATAGTTATTGCCTTGCACTTTTTCTTTCATGTTCCATCTGGCACAAGGGACCAATTGCACTATGCAAAGTACTGCTAAGTACAAGAAAAACCAAACAGCCTCTATTTCAGCTGTTTTTGATGTCACAACACATAGCTTTATCTTTCTTAAATCTTTGAGTTCAAATTAAATCGTGACCAAGGGATTGAAAAGTTTCAAGTTCAGTTGCTGCTTACTCTACTTTTTCTTATGATCAGAGATTTCTGAGAAGGTAGAGCAATGCAACTAGGGCTTATATATATAAGACCCAGGATGTCCAATCTTTCGTACATGTACAAATGCTAAGTATACTGTTAAGTGTGTATGTGTGCGTGTGCACGCTAAATATACAGGTACAGATGCTAAATTACAAATTGTGGTTTTCTAAGTTCATCACAACAGTTCTATTTCAGCTTTCCCCATTACCTATTTAAGCTTTCCCCATTACTTCTACAAGTTAATTATCAATAACCTCAGAAATGTTCTCTGTTGTACCTATCCTTTGACCCATTTCTTTAGCGTTTTAGAAGTGCTCTGAATAAGCCATATTTCCATTTTCAGAAGCTTTATCTATGTGCATGAGAGTGTACACATGCACCCTTCAGAAAAAGTGATTTGTTATATTCATGATGAAACAAATTAGTCTAGTTCCATTTTGCATTTGTATCCCAAAGACAAGTCTGAAAAGTCAGTTTGATGCAAACAGCATACTTGCTAAATACCTAACAACCATACGTGTTTTTGCTACAAGCAAACTTCTGGCTGACCCACATGTCCCTCCAGCTGAACCCTTTGCCCAAATGTTGCACGCTTCAGATTATGAACCTCTAGAATGCAAGAGAAAAGATTCCTCTATTCTTTCCAATGGAAAATGTGTGCATTATACAGAAGGGAATGCTGGAAAGCATCCAAATCTAAATAACAGAATAAGATAGGCCACCAGAAGTGACCGATTTAAAGCTTTTCAATCATGCCTCAGGTCAGGTGGTTAATACTTTTGGTGTTAAACCACTAACCCTTTTGCAATAAGCATTCAAAGCATGCTGTCAGCAAAACTATCTAAAGGTGGTATCAAGCATACATAAGAATGGTTTATTGTTGATACGCAACAGGTACAAAATGCCCTTTGCAGCTCTCTACAAAATGTCAAAAGGCAGTCATTGCATCATTGTTTTATGGCCTTCTCTACTTTAAAAGGTTATGCAAGAAACTAGTTGCCAAGTGAATTTATCTGTGCATGAGACTAATTCTGGACTTGAAGACCAGTACATGAATTGAAAGAGTGACCATGCAGTATAGGGAGTCATTAGCAAGGACCCAAATCATGTGTCCCACCAAGTGGGATTTAGTAAAGTTTACTGAAGAGGAGAGAGATTTGGAACTGGACACTCTTTGGCACCTATATGGGATTTCTCTCTTTCCCACATATATGGGAAAGTGAAATATGTTTGTTGAAATCCTTACTTTGCTGGTCTCACTGGTTCAATCCAACACTGTAATAAAGACCCATGTTCCACAACCTAGTTACATTTAAGACATTCTTATCTGCTGTTCAACTTCAAATGCGGTCAAAACTAATAGTGGACCTAAAGTGGGTTGTAGTTTAGGTTACAAAATTCTGCTCCCCACTCCACACCCTCAGTACTACTGTGATTACTCAATAGTGCAACTTTCACTTTTAAAAATCAAGGTGGATTCAGGGCACTCACAGGTACCACCTCAGTAGCCCAACACTGCAGAGTGGAAGCATTAATGCTTTTATCTTCCAGAGAGCTCTTTTAAGTTGAAAAAATGCTGGCATCTCCCTCATTTATTCAGAGATTGTTTGTTAGAGTTCTCATTTCCCCCTACCCGGTCAGTCTTGATCAAAGCTATTAGAACCTCTGGAGCAGATCCAACAGAGTGGCAGCTTTCAGGCCACTAATAAACCAGAGGTCTTTATTATTTTTATTAGTGTTTATTGGAACGTGTATTTATGGAAGGGCTCTTTGCCCACAAAATCTGACCACCCAGAATATCTTGAAATGTAAATTGCAGAAGTTCAGAAGTACTTCCTGGGTAGTCTACTCCCTAGCATGTTTTCATCTGCCTTTCTCTGCGTGGAGGAGACAATACCTTTCCTTTCCCTTCTCTGCCTACGTGATGAAACTCCTTGCAAGTGTTTTTCCATGAAAGACAATTCCTAAAGGCAGGACTCCCAAGTAATTCCTGCAAGAGTTATATCCTTTGGAGTAAGGTGGCAATTGTAGGTTATATCTGAAGCAAGCAGCAGCTTAAAAAGATTAAGTGTGATGCACTTACAGAGCAAGATATTAAGGAGTGGGATAATTTCCCTTTGAGATCTGCAAAGAAAACCATGGTTTAGGCAAACCCTTTATATTGAAAGGACAGAGAAAGCCCAAGTAGTTAAAGCATGTAAGTTTGCGTGCAGTTAAGTCCAGCTTTGTTTTTAAGGTTGACTTAGGTTTTCTGGAGACTCCTCAGATGAAGAAGCTTCTAGGGCTGCTTGTTTATAATCAATTAGACAGTCTCTACCCACAAACTTATAATCTTTAAAAAAGGACACACGAGAAAAGGAATGAGGAGGGAAGAAGGGAAAAAAATTCTGTTAGCAGAGGTGGTAGAATGGCCGCCTTCTCCTCTTGCCTCCCTCAACAAAGCCAGCTGGAATGGCTGGTGGAAGTGAAGCAGGATGCACCATGAGGAAGGAGGTCTTCTTCAATCATTATATAAATATTGCATCAATATAAAGTGAAAACAGTAGTTATCCAAGCTCTAACCACCTGTACTTGGAGAAAAGTCAGAAACTGTGTGTGTGAGCCAACAGGAAGACACTACACATCTCCTACCTCTCTGACTTCATGAAGCTGACTAGGACACTGGTTCTTGGCTCTTCGGGCTGCTGCAGGAGATTTGTGATGGGTAATGGTGACTACTGATTGTCCACACTGATTCAGGCTTTTCTGAGAACTGAGAGATGTAGAGCTGGCTGCTCCAAGAGGCAACAATGACAAGCCTTTCATCCGTGATGTTGGAGTGCTCTGGAATAACCAGAAGACAGAAGTAAAAATTTTGACAAGAACATCTCTCACAGTGAGCTTTTTATACCTGCAAAAACATGAAAACACTGCTGCTAATATCCACTGAAGTTCTGTTTACTCTGTCCCTAAAATCTGAACATTAGCAGGGCCTGCTCCCACCAAGAACACGGCCAGTGTCGACCAGAGATTAGACAAGATGTTTCCATAATAGTTCAAGTTGGCTCTCTTTCCCATTTCCCACCAGCTTCCTACAGGGCCAAAATTAAGTTCATAGGAATAAAGTGGGAGTCTAGTCACCATCACTTCCATTCATACTAATCTTCATTCTCCACATATACCTGCTACTTTCACTCATTCTCATCTCCCCTCTTAAGCACTATTATTCCCTCATGGCTGAGGATCTTCTACCCATATTCCAACCAGCCCTTGACTCAATTAAAACACTGCATTTTCTCAGTGATCCTCTTACACTAATAGCAGCAGCAACACTTCACATTTATATCCTGATTTCAAATGTTCAAAGGATTTCACATGCATCATCACTTCCTCCAGTAGTAAGCTCAGCTGGCTAACATGTAGTCAAACAGGGCCACTGAGAGATTAAGAGGAAAATATCAGCATGCTGTGGGAAATTTCAAGTTCTGTGAAATTATAAAAGATATTTAGCAGAGGGAAACCTAAGGTGAAGGTTTCCTCATGACATTAAAGTCCAATCATGTCTGACTCTTGGGGGAGGTGCTCATCTCCGTTTCCTAGCTGAGGGAGCCAGTGTTTGTCCACAGACAGATTCCGTGGTCATGTGGCCAGCATGACGAAACATCAAGGTGCATGGAACACTGTCAACATTCCCACTGAAGTGGTACCTATTTATCTACTTGCATTTATATGCTTTCGAACTGCAAGATTGGCAGGAGCTGGGACAAAGCACGGGAGCTTATTCTGTCTGCAGATTCGAACTGTTGACCTTTTGATCAACCAGCTCAGCAGTTTAAACCACTGTGCCACCCACAGTCCCAGAGGGAAACCTAGGATGTCCAAAAGCCCTGCTCAAGACCAACCAAGGGAAAGTGCAAGGCAGAGTGTATCCTGAGGTGGGGTATAGAGGGAATTAAATATTCTATATGCAGGCCTGGCTGGAGTGACGAACAGGAGTATGTTACATTGCAACATTTTTTGCAGGTCTGGCATGTCTTCTTGTAATCCTTTTACAACAATCCTGGACAGCAGGTCAGTTTTATAATTTCCATATTCCTGATGAGGGCTGAAGCTGAGAAAGCAGTCCCTTGGTGAATTCGTGGAAGAAATGACATTTAGATGACAGATCTTCCAATTCATAGTTCAGTGTCTTTATTATTACAGAGATTCAGATTTCACCCTTCCTGGGGAAGCTTATAATAAAAAACCAGAAGTGCCATAAGAGCTTTAAAACAAAAACACAATACAAGCTAAAAATAGGAGAAACCAAAATCTAACAAAAGCAGTCTAACAACAGCAAAGCATTAAGAGAGCATTTGTCTGGTGCCAAAATTACATCAATATTAAATGACCAGAGAAGTATTCTGAGCAGAAGATTCCACAACTGGGTGCCACACTTGAGAAGGCCCATCTCCCACCCACTGCTCTCCTAAGCCAAAAAAGGATCTTCCATTAAGACCTTAGTAAATGGAAGGGTACAGATGTGGACAAGTAAACCTACTGGTAACCTGTTCCCAAACCCTGAAAGGCCTTAATAGTAAAAAAAAACCAGCACTTTGAGCCAAGAAATGGATCGGGAATCTGTGTGGTTGATAAAGCCTGCATAATATGATCTTAACACCTTGTCCAAGTCAGCAACCTTGAACCAACTGTAGCTTCTACTGCCTTACCTTTAATAAGGTGGGAGAAAAAGACAACAGCAGCTGCAATCTTAAACTTGCAAATAATCACACTTGACAATTACAAGTTAAAGAATACAGCAGATATGGCACCGAGAACCATCCCGTCCCCCATGGAAACATTTCTTTCCTCCTAGATCTGACAGGTCAGACCTTCACTGCTTGATGCAATCTGAAAAATGGAGCAAGAAAAGCACACAAGCAATAAGCTGTACTTTCTGACTACATTTTCTAGCTGCAACATCCAACTTCAATAATCTAGAAGGGCTCTAGACGCATCCATAGAATGCATATGAATTCTGCCAGGTGTGATAGATTTTGCAAATTTGACACAGCCTTATTGCTTCCATAAGGAACAAGCAAAACATGGAGCTGCTTTTGAAAATGGTTTAGAAACTGCACCTAATTCAAAATAGGTGACCCAAGTTTGTTAATGGGGACTGGCTTATGAGAACATATTAGGGCAGTCCTCTTCCCACTGCACTGGCTGCCAGTTGAAGTCTGGACCTGATTCAAAGTGCTAATATTAATATTCATAGCCTTAAACAGCCTGGGACCTGGTTATCTGAAGGAACACCTTGTTCCATATGTACCTGCCTGGATCCTAAGGTCATCTTCAAGGTTCCTTCTCCAAGAGCCCCCGCTCCAAAGGAAGTAAGGAGGGTGGCTACCAGAAGAAGGGCCTTTTTGGTTGTGACACCCCAGCTATGGAATTAGCTCCCTAAAGTGGTGCACCTAGCACCTACTCTCTATTCTTTTCACTGCCAGGTGAAAACCTTTTATTTGCCCAGTATTTTAACAGTTAACTTTTTAACTTTACTTTTTTAATACTGCATTTTTTCCTGTATTACTGCTATACCTCTGTGAGGATTCAGTTGAAACTGCTGTGTTCTTATCATCTTATGTCTTTCTTGTCTGTGTTGCTTTTAGCTTTTGGGAACTGCCCAGAGGGCTTTAGCTAGTAGGCAATATAAACATGAAATAAATGAATAAACCTTTTCATTAATTATCAATATGCGCTTCCAAATACCCCACATTGTGAGTAACCTGCAGTTTTCTGTCTACATACCCGAAGTCTAAGCTATACTTTAGGATTTCAAACAAATTTACCACCTACCTTATGCAAAAACATTCACTAATTTGGCTTCAGGACCATACCAGATATTTGAAGATTTACCCACTTGAATTCTAACACCCCTTTGGTAAGAATGGAAAATGTTTTATTTATTAGAAGAGGAAGTCTGAGGTTGCAAGGAAATGATCTGTCTTGCTTCAAGGTGAAACCAGGGCCTGGGAATGCATTTACAGGGGTCTACCCTTCATCATAAACCTGCTATCCTCTTAAATGTATTGTATTTATAACTTTCATTACCCCCATCTGTCTGGGGATGATGGAAATTTTTGTCTACTACATCTAGAGTGTATCAGCTGGACTAGAAGAATTTACTGGAATAAGTTCCTAATAGGTGGGAATTTAATGACTCCTGATGGTTGTTATTGTAGTAAGGAAGGGGGCTGAATGGATGGTATTTCAGGAACTAATCTAAGTATCTCATTCATTCAATGGAACTAGTATCTGAAAAAAGTTTTCCAGATGATGCTAGCCACCTCAATGAGACAATGGAGGATATGGGCTAAGGAGAATGATAGATGGATTGAGACAGAGAGGTAACTTCTGCAGAGGGGCAATAAACAGGAACAGGGGATTGATGGGCCAAAACATTTAAAATGAAAGTGAATGTATCTGAGAGATGAAATATCAAGGAGGAAGCTTGCTGCTGAACTGGTTTCTATCAGGAGTTTATAATCTGGCTTCATTGTAGGTACATGTGGAAATCATGGAAATCCTCTAAGCAGACTTGAAACTTTGGAATACAGCAGGATACACTCCTGATAAACAGACCATTTCAACTTATATTAGGAAATAGTAAGGGAGTGTTGTGTTGAACTCCACAACAGTCAGTAAGAGCTCCCTGAAAGTTAACAAGCAGGCACGTCCTCAACTAGTACACACGGTATCATTTTGCCATCAGTCACGAAAGGCATACATTTGGAATAGCATGCAGACATGGATGGAGAGCCAACACACAAGGCAATTCTAGGGGAGGGCTTCATTCAGCAAGCTGTGCCATGACTTGCCTTCCTGTTTGAAATCCTAACCTATGCTTTGGAATTTATACTAATGCAATCTATAGTTTGGTATCATCTTCAAGTCAAACTTCTATGAGTGTAAGCGTCAACTGACAACTATTTCTATGACGTCTAAGTGCAATTAGGTAAAAATATCCCTTGCAAATCAAAGTCTGTAAAAACTTGTTTCTGACAGACATGTTTCTAGAGGAAATGTGAATTATTTTCACTTAATAATAAGCAGCTCTTCCAGGAAGGAGTTAAAAAAAAAAATCTAGTTTAGATATCACATTCATTCAATGCAACTTAAATAACAACTTACCACTTATTCTATGAAATCTAATAGCTGTTTCCAGAAAAGTATGAGATTTGAAGAGCACTGGTGCCAAATATAGTGCAAGGTATTCTTAAACAGAAATGTCCTAATAGGTACCTTAAGTAGAAATTTTGTCCAGTCTCATAATCAGGGTTTTCCTCACCCTGAATGCAGATGGTATGTACAAGTATCCCAGCTCAGTAAGCATGTTTAATGTCCTGTCTGATATCCAGAAGACTAATACCCAAGCAATAAAGTACAAGAGTATTACAAAGCCAATAAACTTCTATGATTTAGGAACAGAATGTAAAAAAAAGTAATAACATGTCTCATATGCCCAATAGCTCCTTGTTTTACCCCTACACAGAAACTGATACCATCTCTCAATTTACCAGAAATGTACATTTGTTTATTTTAAGCAGAGAGCTTTGCATCCTGAACATCAGTAATTGAACTCCTTGAATAGATCATATTACAAGCTTTGTGACTAAGCCCTTTTCTCTTGCAGAAAACATCAAGGAAGAGGCAAGTAAGAAGCTTCCATTAAATGAAGTTGGAGCAAAATGTTGAGATACTCTTAATACATTTTTAAAAATATTTTTTCCTTGTTCTCACATATGTTAGAATATAACCTTTCTCTTCTTTCTATTCACACTTATCCAAACCTGGCAAAAGGAAAAGATAATAACTGATTTTAACACAAATGAAGAAAATTAAGCTCTATCTGATCCTATTGCAGATATTGCATGTGCACCTTATCATTAAATATATAACTTTCATGCTATGGTTCTCTCTGTGGGATTTTCCTTAGCTTTAATGAAGAGGACATGTTTTTAGACCCGGTAAAGGTAAAGGTTTCCCCTTGACGTTATGTCCAGTCATGCCTGACTCTAGGGGGCGGTGCTCATCTCCATTTCCTAGCCGAGGGAGCCAGCATTTGTCCACAGACAGTCTCCGTGGTCATGTGGCCGGCATGACTAAACACCAAAGTACACGGAACGCTGTTATCTGCCCACCAAAGTGGTACCTTTTTATCTACTTGCATTTGCATGCTTTCAAACTGCAAGACTGGCAGGAGCTGGGACGGAGCAACGAGAACTCACTCCGTTGTGCAGATTCGAACCAGCAACCTTTTGATCTACCAGCCCAGCAGCACAGCAGTTTAAACCACTGCGCCACCTGCAGTCCCTTTTAGACCCAACAGATGTGGCTAAAAGGCAATCAGAAGTAAGACCTATTTTCCAAAGTTCCTGGCATTCCTAGAAGCTGCTGCAACAAGCATGGAGAAACACCTCTTTATTCAAGGCCTCCATGAACAGCTCTCAGCCTGAAATGGATTCTTCCATTCCTCCCACACCCACCATTTCTGACCTATAATGCAAAACAGGGTACCTATCAGGGTGAACACAAGGACTTCTAGGTCTGTCACATTCAGAATGTTGCTGGGCACTTGTTCCATTTTTGCATTTTCAAAAGAAGCAAGTCAGATTTTTGTTATTTAGTCACTTGTTTGAGAACATATTCTTTTAAAACACAAAAGGGCCAGTGGTAGTAGTTCCCCCTTAAAATGCAAGTTTGTTTGCTTAAACTGAAAGGATTTTGTGTAAGATTCTATTTTTCATTGCCTCCTCTATGTAATTTGTGTCATCTTCTGCCCAAAAGTGGCAATACCTCAATAATTTGATCCTATCAGGAAAGTTCCTACTTGGTTCAGAGTGACTTAAAAATATGGAGGCCTAGGCAAAAAAGATGGAAACTTGCTGTTTTTATTGGATTAGCATTTCTAGTTACAACCTTCACTTACACCAAATGACATGTAAGAATACTATTTCCTGACCTATAATTATTTACCTTTGAATTACTTTCTGTGTGGTGCTTGGCACAAGATCGAAGCTGAGTCACCCAGTACGCTCTTTCCTTTGTATCACCAGCTAGAAATACAAACACAAACATAATCTGTAATTTATTTTTTTCTTTTTAAAAAATTAACACATTTTGCTACTACAAAGACCCCCTGATCATCATATTAGTATGATGATCACCATACTAAAGCTGACTTCCTGGTGTATGGCATTTTGATAATCCTTGTTGTTTTAATGTAATGCATTTAGCAGAGATAACAAAGGGTGTGATTTTTTCCTGTGATTTAAACAAATATTAATCAATCAGTATGTGTAGGGAGTTGTGTTTTTTTTCCATGTGGAAGCAAATATGTCTACAAACAAGAAATGGTAAAGTTCAGGCAAACTTCTCAAATAATTCTAAGAACTGCCTAAACTGGCACTTTATAGATCAATCAACTTTCTTGAAGAATAGTTTTTTTTAGTTGCAAGTTACTGAATTCTAACTTCAATGGGTAAGTCTCAAAAGTTAAATGCATCTTAAATCAACATACTAATTCAGAGTATGAGCAACAATAAGCCCAAACAACATTTTAAAGAAAGTCAAATAATGGTGGTATGTGGTGTAATGTTTAGCAAAACTTTAGTCTTCCACAAACTGTTGTCCTCCAGATGTAGTCTACACATCTGGAGTTACAGTCTTCACAACACCTCTGGACATACCCAGTCATCTGAAAGACATCAAATTGGAGAAACTTGGACTATAATACAGTTTCTTTTGAAATGCCAGCTTTTTTCTTCTTTTTTCACTGTAAAATTTAAGAGAGGAATAAAATGTATACATATTTGCTCCACACAAGCTTTCTATGTGATAATTATTTTAAATGCATCTATGTTTTTCCCCTCTAGTTCTGGAGACTGGTCATTCAGTATCATACAAACCTAACATGGAGAATAGCTTGGCACCAGAACTCTTTTACAGAAGGAGAAAGATGACGACATTGCAACCCCATTAGTACACTAATTTAATCCTAGAAGAAACTTGAATCTATTACAAAGGCTTATTTTATTTCAAGCATTTAATACTTAGTCACTGGTATAATAATAAATGTTTCTTTAAAAGAAATGTGCCATAGTCACAAATAGCATAATGGGTTGTAAGCAACAGGTGTCTCTCCACCAGAAAGCTGCCACCACCCAAGATTCTCCCCTCCTTTTGCAACACCTTCAAATCTATTCCAATGAAGATTTGAAAGATGTGTGGGGAAGGGAAGAAGGGAAACTTCCACTGCACAAACAATATCAGATACAACGTGTCACCCAAAATCTTTGCATATTATATATTAGGAAAATTCATGGCTAAAGTTATACATTATCAGCCACTGGGCAAAACCCAATACTGTACAAGCAGACTTCCCTTCATGGCATGGAACTTTTCCCTCCCCACTGCAGTACCTCCCTAGAGCAGGTACCTGTGCAATCTACTTGTGCCACCAGATTTAAACCATTAAAGCTACTTCCCATCCTGTACTTTGGTTCTGCCAGTTGAAGTACCAGTAATAGACCATGTTCCAGATTATGAGAGAGTAAACATCACTTTTTATAAACTGGTTCTAACATGAGCCAGGTTGCCTGCCACAGCCCCAGAACATTATAGCCCCAAGATTCTATTTCCATTTTCTTCTACTGTGCAATAAAGGTTTGTCTTTTGCACTTTTTAAAACTAAAATTTGCCATATTTAAGCAAACTCCAACTGGTGCATGCAAATGACAGGAAAGACAAGTTCAAACTGTATGTTTAATTTTTACAAATTTAGAACAGACTACTGTACCTCTCAGTTTATACATTTCTCCATTAGCAGAGTATACCACAAACATGTTTGGAGCTTCATCACTGAGGGAAACTATAGCCCCAGCTAAGGATAATACCCCTCTTGGCTTCTGGTTTTTACTTTGCTCATTCACAAAATATTGTAGAATTCCAGTCTCAAAATCCAGCATGAAGTACCTGTTGATGAAAAAAATAGGAAAGTACAAAGTAGTATAGCATTTACTGTACAGAACCTGAAGAAGTTCTAATGATTAAAATGGAAGGGGACTAGAACTACAGTGGTACCTCAGCGCACGAACGCCTCAGTTCACAACCAAATCAGGTCGCGAACAGAAATTTCAGAAAGATTTTGACTCAGGTTGCAAACTCCACATTGGGTAACGATCTCACGATCGCGCCCGTCTTCCCTGCACGGATCATGCTGGGGGGGGGGGGGGTGAGATGGCCACAATCATGCCCTTCTCCCACCACCAGCGTGCCTGTGATCACACCCGTCTTCCCTGCATGAGCGCGACCAAGATCGCGCCTGTCTCCCCACCCCCGAGCGCACCCATGATCATGCCCAGCTTCCCTCTGATTAATATATATATATATATATATATATATATATATATATATATATACACACAGAACAGATTAATCTTATTTACATTGAACCTTATGGGGGAATTTGGCTTGGCTCACGACCAATTTTGTTACTGATCAGAGTCGTGGAACGGATTAAATTCGTGAGCCAAGGTACCACTGTATTTCCTGCATACACAGTACTTGTGTCTTCTGTTGCTGCCAGGTTCCACTTCTACATTTGTTCAGTAACTCTTACTAACAGCTTGAAAAGCAGAAGATTCTTCAATAACACAGTTACTGAAATTTATTCCATTATCTCTCCATTCTGCCAGCAACCATGACAAAATTTATGCATGCTCAATTATTTCATATTTTCACTCTACAATGTAACTAGGGAAGGGGCAAGAGGGACATCTATCGATATTAAAGGAGAGGTGACTTTAATTCATATGGGGAAATGGCATGGTTATGTTGAGGCCAGGCCAGGCCAGGCCAGGCAAGGTCTTTATGTATGAGAACCAACAGAATGGAGGCTACAGGGCAATGAAATTGGTGGATGGCACATCTTATGTTTTACTTCCTCAGCAGACATCTATCTCTGAGATTATAAGAGTGTTGAATATTTAAATAAAAAACAGAACACCATCCTCCCCCAAATGAATATAGCTCCAGTGTACTAAAAACTCCTAAGACACGACACAGGTTTCAATCAAGCTGCTCGCCAACAAATACTTTCAGACAAAGGCAAAATGCCAGGAGATAAGCGTAAGAAAATCAAGATTAATTGACAAAATAAAACCAAACCAGCCCTTTCCCCTACCAATTAAAAATACAGCAGAACTCCAGTAACACAAATGGGTTTATTCAATGGATAATCTTCATTTCTAAAGATATTTTAATCTTTCAGTATTCCAGCTAAAGCAGACAATGGGATGGAAGTTATCCACAATTAGTTCTTACTGAAATGAATGAGACAGGTCTGAAATTGAGATAGTTGTGACTTGCATCATACTGATTTCTATAGGAGCACAGTGCAATTAATTTGGTCTGAATCCAACCTTTATGTCTACTCCTAACTAGCTTTCAAAATTTGGTGCAAATTACATTTTGAATCGGAAAAATTCTTTTGCGTTATTTTCAATGATTTCCCCTCACTCATAACCACATTTAATTGGCTGTCAATGGATTCCAAGGGGGCTATATTCAGGTAAGTGTCCTTATATTACAGCTTTATAGTTAAAAACAAAGGATGTACTTAGCCTACATTCTCTGTATAAAACCTATCTAGAAAAGATACCTTGAAGTAGTATAAGGCAAAATCCCCCCAACATAAAACCATTCTTTTGAACACTGTATTTTGAATACGGTATAACCTTGAGGTTCAAGTTCTTTCTTTAAGGTTCAAATAACAGGTCCAAATTCATTTTTGTTGGTACATTAGCTTATAATCCTGACTCTGCTGGAAGGCTCACACTGCATCTCTACTTCAGTTTGTCATATGTAAAACTGGAATCTGTCAGGGATGCTTTTACTGGAGTCCTGTATTCAGCAGAGTATTGGACTCAATGACCCTATAGGCCCCTTTCAACTGGCCTATGAACTTCTGTTACCTCTCTCGTAAGAGAACAAACAAGACAGAGACAGTAAACCACTTGACAAGTGTAGTGTATAAATTATCCATAACATATTCAGTAGCAGAAGCAGCAGGTTGCACTGAACATGAGGTGATCTTGCTTACTGATTACCAAACTCATGTGCATTCTTTGTAACTGAACTTTGGCCTTTACGATAAAATATGCAAAGCCAAATTCACAGTCCAAGCAGAAGCCCACAGGGCTCACTTTGTTCAGACAGATCTGTTAAACTTCCTTTTTCCCATTAATAAAGCAACTAGCAGAAAACATTTTATCCATGTTATAATTGCCAGTGTTCTACATAGTTTGCTTTAGAATAGACAATACTACATTAACCAGCATATTGCTCAGTAAAAACACATGCACAAGGTAAGATCCAGCAGTAGTATTTTAAAATGCAAAATGCCAGAAAGATGCACATTGAGTTAGCTACTGAAATTTTGCACTTAAAATATCTATAATCATTGTGCAATAGGATAGATATATAAAGTACACCATCTTGAGTCAGTGCAATTCTGTATTGAGTCAGACTAGTGTCCTCCCCCCACCCCAGACCTTCACAGTTCACCTTATATTTTAACACATACTGTACTCAGCAAGAATTTCTGCCAGACACCAGCAAATTAGCAATGATATAAAAGAAAAGCATTAACTTGCATAGACAGATAACCCCACTGCCATTTTCTGCAAATGTAAGTATATATGTACATGCATGTTATGTATACATTTACATTTATTAAATCCAATACTTTAAAGATGTTCTGCTAAATAGAATATCATATAAATAATTAAGGAAAGACTGTAGGAAGAGCAAATACACTAACACAATTTTTAAAAAATACCCCAATACCCATCTCTACAATCTCTACATTTGCTTAAATGAAGTCCTAGTATGCTTCCCAGTGTGATTAAACTTCCAAACCACGGAGTCACAGGGTGACTTTTACACATGTTTCATGTTCTTATATTATGTAGGAAGGGCATCCTTAACACACACACACACACACACACACCCCCATGCAAAGTTGCTATAAAGAAGAATGAAGAGCAGGTTTCAATTCTGGCTTATCACTAGCAAGCAAACATACTCATATATGCTGCCCTATCTTTCCACTTTGTTCATCCTACCAGAAGGACCAACCAGGAGGCCACTATTAAGGAAAAGCTTAGTATCACATCCAAAGCAGGATTTCTGGCTTAACACTCATCTAGCTTCTTAGAAGCAACAGCAAAACAAAAACAAAAAAGCCACTATTAAAGCAATGGTAGTTTGGTTAATGGCAGCACAATAGCCTAGTCTCACACAACAGATCATGGGGATACACTTGCTGCAGTGACAACTTTACAGATGTTTTGCTTGCTTATTTGTTAAAGAGGTTAATTATGTTTCCCCATTGGATTGGTACACTGAGGAGAAAGATAGCCAGCCTCTAAAGTCAAGCTTTAAAAAAAAAAATCGTACTTGTGCAGCAGCAACTTATCATCAGTGATGGCACAGGCACTGGCCAATAGGAGCTCATAATTATATTTGTGCAGCCACATTCCATGCAGCACTGCAAACAGCAGTGAAATCTTAGCTGTAAGAGAAGCGGCACTGCTTTTCCCAGCATCAACACAATTATTTTTTTCTATGTTGAGAAAATGCAATTTGTCTGTAGCAGACAAGGTAGCTGGAGGAAGACCAGCTGGGGGAAGACCATGGTAGTTGACCTCATTAAATAACAAATGCCCAACAAATGTAAATCCATTGCACAACAAAGCTATTGTCTGCAAAGGTCTCCACATTCATCTAACCAGCTTTTCACACTGCTAGCATTATATTTAGCCCCAGTCAACTGGTTTTGCTTCTCACTTGGAAGACACCCTTCTGAGACACAGTTGGGACCAGTTCCAGGCTGGCTGCATTATATTTCAGCAGGAAGCCATCTGTGGCATCTCCTACTCTTGCCTAATGGCATGGCCTTCTTTATTTGTAGCAATCACTGTTTCCAATCATAATATTAAAAAACAATACCAGCACAGAGCTATGTTATTTTTCTATAAACCAGACCTTAAACAAATAATCTTTGGCTCTCAATTGCTGAACTAAACAAAATAATAGTTGACCAAGTTACAAAAATTGTCCTGATTCAACACTATGGTATGAAATCATGTTCAAAGGCCAACATACTCATTCAGTAAGATGCTAAATAAAATGTGGCTTAGGAAACAGAGGCAAGATAGTAGAAACTAGAGTTGAGCAACACTGAATGCAGTTGCTGTTATTATCTTAGTTTCAGATTTAGAAACACTCTTCAAGTCTATCAATTGTTTGTTTTTGTTTTACAAGACTTCCATTGCACCTTTCAGCCCCTAAGGCAGCTTCTAGATTATTTATTTATTTATTTAGGAAGCTTCTCTGCCGCCCCATTCGCCGAAGTCTCAGGGCGGCTCACAATAATAAATAAACACAATATAAAAACAATACAATTTGAGTCGACCTGGCCAAAAAATAAAATAAATAAAAGAGATTTAAAAAAGAGAGAGAAAGATACAGTCTATCAGTTAAGTCATTTGTGGGAGGAGCAGCACAAAATGGCTTACTTGACCTAGGACAGGTTAAAATGCACTGCCACAGCAGGAGGTGTCAAAGAATGGCAAAATAAAAGTGTTTCTGCTGCCTTTGTGTAATTCATAAGAGAGGAATCAACCATTTTCCACAATCTGGGTGCAGCACTGAACCGGCCCATTCTTCATGTCCCCACCATATACTCCTCCAAAGATGAGGCGATACAGAACAGGACCTGAGGTACTGAATATAGTGCCTGAGCAGCAGCACCCTCTTGCTTGCTAGCTAAGACTGAATAAACCCTAGAACAATGTTCTCAAGTCCCATCCTTTCAAGGCTGCCATTGCTGAAGCAAGTGAAAATGGCTGATCGGTCAAACAGAACAATGACCTATTTCCTCTGACCAGTTCCCAGGGTAGACTGTCCAC